GGGCAGAGAGAGAGGGAGACACAGAATCGGAAACAGGCTCCAGGCTCTGAGCCATCAGCCCAGAGCCTGACGCGGGGCTCGAACTCACGGACCGCGAGATCGTGACCTGGCTGAAGTCGGACGCTTAACCGACTGCGCCACCCAGGCGCCCCTAAAATAAATTTTAACAACTTGAAACAAAGAAAGAAAAGGCTGTAACTAGAAGAAAATTAGGAAAGGAAAAAATTTCACAAGTAAATGCACACATCTAAAGGGAGGAGATTAATCACAAAACCAGTGTGGAGATTAATACACAAAAGCAGAACAAATAAGTATTAGCTTAAATACATCAGTCATGAGATTCACAAAACAAAAGTATGTAATGTATGACATTATGTACATAAAATAGGAAAGGGGAGTAAATATTTAGTGCTTTTAAAATGGGTTCAAACTTAGTCACCATCAACTTAATATAAAGTGCGATATGCAATGCATAAGAGGTTATATATGAATCTAATGGTAACCACAAATCAAAATCCTATATAGATACATACAGGGAAAAAAAGAAAAAAGGAATCCATGCCTAACACTAAAGAAAACCATCAAACCATATGGGAAGAGAGCAAAAGAGAAGAAAGGAACAGAGAGGAACTACAAAAAACGCAACAAAAAATATGCTGTAAAACAAGTAACAAAATGGCAATACATAATCGATAATTACTTTATTCAAAAAAAATGTTTCTTGGGGCGCCTGGGTGGCTCAGTCGGTTGAGCATCCGACTTCGGCTCAGGTCATGATTTCACGGTCCGTGAGTTCGAGCCCCGCGTCGGGCCCTGTGCTGACAGCTCGGAGCCCGGAGCCTGCTTCAGATTCTGTGTCTCCCTCTCTCTCTGCCCCTCCCCTGCTCACACTCTTGTCTCGCTCTCAAAAATAAATAAAGATTAAAAAAATTGTTTTCATGTGTTTATTTTGAGAGAATGTGTGAGCAGGGGAGGGGTAGACAGAGAGAGAGGGAGAGATTCCCAAGTAGGCTCCACAGTGTCAGTGCAGGGCCCAAGGTGGGTTATGATCTGAGCCAAAATCAAGAGTTAGATGCCTAATAGACTGAGACATCCGGGCACCCCAATCAATAATTACTTTCTATTTGAGGGGACTAAGTGCTCCAAGAGAAAGACACAGGGTCACATGGATAAAAAACAAGACCCATCTATATGCTGCCTACAAGACACTCCCATGAGACCTAAACAGACATGCAGACTGAAAGGGAAAAGATAGGACAACATTTACCATGTAAATGAAAGCAAAAAACAAAAACAAAAACAAAAACAAAAACCAAAAACCAAAAACCAAACCAAAATAAAAACTGGGGAAGCAATACTTGTATCAGAAAAAAACATATTTAAAATTTTTTTGAAATGTTTTCTCTATTTTTTTTTTAATTTTTTTTCAACGTTTATTTATTTTTGGGACAGAGAGAGACAGAGCATGAACGGGGGAGGGGCAGAGAGAGAGGGAGACACAGAATCGGAAACAGGCTCCGGGCTCTGAGCCATCAGCCCAGAGCCCGACGCGGGGCTCGAACTCACGGACCGTGAGATCGCGACCTGGCTGAAGTCGGACGCTTAACCGACTGCACCACCCAGGCGCCCCTGTTTTCTCTATTTTTGAGAGAGAGACAAAGACAGAGCATGAGTTTATTTCACTTTTGAGAGAGAGAGAGACAAAATGTGAGCAGGGGAAGGGCAGAGAGAGAGGTAGACACAGAATATGAAGAAGGAGGCTCCAGACTCCCAGCTGTCAGCACAGAGCCTGATCCAGGGCTTGAACCCATGAACCGTGAGATCATGACCTCAGCCGAAGTCGGAAGCTTAACCGACTGAGCCACCCGGACACCCCAGAAAAAACAAATTTTAAGACAAAGTCTATAGCAACACAAAAAGGCACTACACGATGATAAAGGGAAAATCCAACAAGAAGATATAATAATGGTCATTATTTAGGCATCCAAGATGGGAGTACCTAAATACATAAAGCAACTATTAACTGGCTAAAGGGAGAACGTGACAGTAATACAGTAAAAGCAGAGGACTTTAACACCCCACTTACATCCATGGATAGATTATCGCAAAAGAACATCAATAATGAAAACAGTGGCTTTGAATAACACATTACACCAGATGAATCTAACAGATATATACAGATATTCCCTCTAAATACAGCAGAATACACATTCTTTTCACAAACATTTACCAGAATGGATCCCATGTTGGCCGCAACGCAGGTCTCAACAAATTCAAGAAATCTTATTATGCACCTCTTCCGACCACCATGATATGAAACTCTAACCTGTAAGGAGACGCATCACGAGAAAAGAATACTCAAAATGATAAATGAGAAGGTGGATGAATAGAATTATAAATAAAAGGGTAGAAATAACAACCAACCTAACAGAAGTACAAAGAATTTGAAGAGACTACTACAAAGAATGATAGGCCAATGAGTTGGACAACCTAAAATAAATAGGAAAATTCCTAGGACCATAAAATACCCCACGAGTCAATTAGGAAGAGACAGACAAGGGGAACACATGGATTATTAGTAATGACATTGAATCAGTAATCAAAAACAACTCCCAACCAACAAAAGTCCAGGACCAGATGGCTTCCCAGGTGAATTCTACAAAACATGCAAAACAGAAAACAAAAACAAAAACAAGCAAACAAACAAAACATTCTTCTCCAACTATTCCAAGAAACAGAAAAGGAAGTAAAACTTCCAAATTCATCGTAGGAGACATTACCATGATAGCAAAACCAAACAAAGACTATAAAAAAAAAGTAACTACAGGACGTTATCTCTGATGAACATAGACACTTAAGTCCTTAACAACTTATTAGTAAATTGAATTCAAGAATACATTTTTTTTTAAATCACTCACCACGCCTGGGGCGCCTGGGGCGCCTGGGGGGCTCAGTCGGTTGAGCGTCCGACTTCAGCCAGGTCACGATCTCGCGGTCGTGAGTTCGAGCCCCGCGTCGGGCTCTGGGCTGATGGCTCAGAGCCTGGAGCCTGTTTCCGATTCTGTGTCTCCCTCTCTCTCTGCCCCTCCCCCGTTCATGCTCTGTCTCTCTCTGTCCCAAAAAATAAATAAATGTTGAAAAAAAAAATTAAAAAAAAAAAAAATAAATAAAAATAAATCACTCACCACGACTAAGCAGCACTTATTCCTAGTATGTAAGAGTGGTTCAATATTCACACATCAACATGATGTATCTCATTGACCAGAGAATAAAACCCTATGATCATCTCGACAGAAACAGCAAAACACAGTGCCTATTCCTGGTAAAAACTCTGACAGTAGGTTAGAGGGAACACTCCTCAACCGAGTAAAGGCCATAAATGTCAAACCCACAGCTAATATCACTCTTAATGGTGAAAAAGAGCGTTTTACCTAAAATCAGGAAGAAACAAGGGTGCCCACTCTCACTGGTTTTTTCAATATAGTACAAGTCCTACCCATAGCAATCAGACAGGAATTAACAGGCATCCAAATGGGTAAGAAAGAAGTCAAACTGTCACTATGTACAAATAACCTGAAGTATATAGTAATATAGAGATCAACGTAATAATAGATCAATACTAGTATATAGTATATAGAATATACTAATATGGACAAAACCCGAGTGACTCCCCGAAAAAACTAGTTCTGATATAGGACTTCAGTGAAGTCACAGGACACAAAATACATAATATGTTGCATTTCTATACATAAATAACAAAGTATCAGAAAGAGAAAATAGGAAAACAAACCCATTTACAGGTACATTAAAAAGAGTAAAACATCTAGGAATAAACTTCACCAAGAAGGTGAAAGCCCTGTACTCTGAAAACTGTCAAAAAAAATTGATGAAAGA